TTTCGCTTGTAAACAGAGACAAAAGGCGATTGGCCTTTGTTGTTTGCTCATTGTCGAGATTACGTTACTTCACCAAGTATTCGTTCATGCATGAGCCAGTCTGTATTTTTGTTAGCGTCAGTATCGCTTTTGTGGTGTTTTGCTAGTCGTCAATCAGCTGATACTTATATTTTACGTTCCTTGTCTTGTTTGACATTTTATATGCTGCTTTCTGTTTTGTTTTGTATGCAATTCGCTCGCTCGTGATCAGTTAGTTTTTGCAGCAACGAGTTTGCTTAGGTAAGCTATGTTTACATCGGTCAAAGTTGCGGTAAAAAAAATTTACAGCGGTACAATTCAATATACACATACATGATATTGAAAGGAAAACCAGCGAAGCTATAAAGAGTGTGAAGGTATGGATATCATCAAGATATTCAGAGGCAATATTGATAAGTAGCAGAAAGACCGAAGAGACAATAAGACTCAGTGTTGTATCAGAAACTATAATATCAAAGCCCGAGTTGATCCCGATCAACGCTGCCGTCTGTTTATGCTTTTGAACATATTAAAAGAGTATTGGTTAGTGAAGTGGTCAGCTCAGTCTTACTCTACGGTCCTCCAATTTGGGCTGAAGCAATCGGTTTAAAATATAATGCACTAACGACTCTTTGTGGATTCCGAACTATATCTGATGAAGCATCCTTCGTAATTGCTGGATTGATTCGAGTAGATATCCTAGCAAACGTGACACAAAAAATGGACAAGCGTATATCTATGGGAATTACCAGTTTAGAGCAAAAAAGATGTCGCAGAGCAAGAGAAATGACACGCTGTAGAAATTTGGCAAAAGCATTGGGTGAATCGGAGTAAATGGACTCACAAGCTCATTCGAAGCATTAAAAATTGGCTGAAAAGAGCCCACGGAGAGTCAAACTGCCCTGGCCCCTATCGAGAGTATTTAAAGAGTTTTAGGCATGGTGATTCCCCCCACTGCCCGACTTGCACGGGTCTTATGGAAAACGCGACACATAGTATTCGTTTGTCCTCGATATGCCTCTGAAAGGCGAAAAATAGTGCAGGGGGCAATGTTGTAGACAATATGTTGAAATCAACAGAAAACTGGCCTGAAATATGCGCACATATCTCTCGAATTCTTAAAGATTTAAGACGATATGAATCTAAATAGAGCCGGTTAAGTAACGAAGGGCGCCTATTGGCCAACCAGCACCGTGAGCTAATACCTTAGATGGCAGTGCCGCGGGGAGAGTGGTTTGTGGAGAGGTTTTAGTAGGCAGGTGTAGCTGCGAGGCTGCAAGTGCTGCATACCACTATGCCGGTATGGTAGAACTCATGGGATTTCCCTTTTAACGGGTGTCATACCAGAAAAAAACTTCCATATACATATAACCAGAATAATAACTAAGCCTATTCAAAGAAATAATCAAAAACACTTGGGTTACTTTCAGCTCAAATCGATGGCCCCGAGCTGGTATATCTTAGCTGGACAATAGCCGTCAATCTTTCTTATCTTGAATGCCGTGCGAAAGACTACCTTAACTCGATGAGCTATCCTAACATTGTACTAACTCTGCGCTTGCAGACATTCTATCCTAAATAACACAGACGCGCCTATTTTTTGTGTCTTAACTCCATAGATTAACAGCCGAAACTACAACAAAAGAAGGCGCACCTGCGTTAGGATAGTTTGATTGGCAGCATTGAGTTAGTACAAAGTTAAGAAAGTTCATCGAGTTAAGATAATCTACTAACTAAAGGAAAACGGTCCAATAAGCATAGAACTCCTTACATTTATGGACATTCAGGGCGCTACTTTGGTCTATACTTGGCTGATGGCCTCTTACGGGCTCTTAGTCCCAGAGGCTATATCAAAGACAATCAAGAAAGCACCATTAGGAACTTGAAACAGAATGCCCTCTGCATTGCTTGGAACTGGCAGGCAAGAAGGGCTGTCGATAACGCAAACAAGACCACTTACATTGCTCTTTTCCCTTCAGTTCAAATACATGGCACAGAGATACCTTTAGAGAATGATATCTAATATGAATGACTAACCTTAGGCAGAGCACTCTTTTGAGAGCCTCATTTGCCACAAGTTAAAAAAACGGCAAACAAAACCTTAAATAGCACAAAACAGCCACTGGGACATATAGGGCATTTGAGTTCAGGATTTACACCCAAATGAGAAGGCCGCTAATTCAAAAACAGCGAAAAAATTTGTCAAAAAGGAGTAATTCAGAAATTTAACAAGGTACAAAGGTTTGCATAATAGAGAGCATGAAAACAACCGGTATAGAAAGCATGCATGCTCTACTTAAAATAATACCGCTCCATATAGCAATTCAATAAAAAGCTTCTATTTAGGTACGCATTCTAGATAAAGGTGATAGCCTCAAGCAGGGCAACCTAAAAGGGAAACTTGGGATCTTAAGAGGTTGGGGCATTGTCGTCGCCAAACCTCAGATTAAAGACCACGTTCATTCCACCATAAGCCTAAGCCCTAACAATTTAGGTGATCAACTGATTTGCGAGAAATTCGCTAAAATATTGAGAACCTAAGTTAATTTGGCGGCTCTAATTAACACCTAAAAAGCATCTACCTCCTCAATAATATTTATTAATAATTAACCACTTGGGTCAGAATCATTATGGGTGAATGTGAATTAACATTCTAGGAGGAAACAGCTTTTGGTGAAAAGCTAATTTTTTCAAGCTTTATCACAACTGCCATATAGCCTCATAGTCTTCAGATCGTAACGCCATACATAACATAGCTTTTGAAATCAGGAAAATGTGTTAGAACCCAGAAAGTTCTTGAGAGTCTTAATCAACTGCGGTGCCATTAAATTAACCTAGAGCCACTAATCGCGCAAAAAGCTCCTTCTTTTACTTTTTTATTATGGAGGACTATTTAGATGCATTTCTGCATCACAAGGTACATTTTGAAAATAAATGTCGCTTACTTTTTTTCGCGGTTAGGGAACGAATTTTTTATATTAAAAAATACCCGGCGTGCTTCGCTGCGCCTTCAAAGTATTTTTTTTTTGTGTTACTCCCACTAACTACATAGCACATCCAAAACTCTTCAGCAGGTATCGAACCAGCATCATCGAAAGTCTAGAGAAAGAAGTCTGATGAGGAGATGTGGTGATCTTCGAAATGGCAGCTATAACTTCTACCGCTTAGACTTTGTTGCTTTTTTCCATTTTTTCCTAAAAAACAAAATTGTGGCACAAAACTAATTAATTTTTTTTTAATTCTTTTAATTTAATATGTATTTAATTTATCTTATAATTTGAATAAATATAATTTTTTAAGCAGCTGGCAACCCTCTTAAGAAATATTTTCGGTTGTAAGCCTTCTCAAAACTTTCAAATTTGATACCCATAGTGTAATATTTAATTATTCTTATCAATTTAAATCAATTAAATTTTTCAACCCTCAAAAATAATTTGGCTCTAAGCCAATGCCAGACAGCCAGTAGGCTCGCCAGGCAATGAGCGTTTTGTTTGTGTTATGTGTGCGTGTGTATATTGCCTGGTACTGCTCTAAGACTTCTTAGGACTCCCATATTGCGATATTTCCTTTACCTTATCAATTTACTTAAACTAAAATTTTCAAACTGGTGGCAACTCTCTAAATTTTTTTCTTTTTAAACCATCCGGGTAGTATACTGAGCAAATCAGTAAAGAAATATTCAAATCGACGAATCCGTTTTCGAGTTTTTGCCTTCTAACTGAATATTTTTATAGTATAACGACGCCTAACCGCAAAAACAACATAAGCCACATATTTTTAAATTTTTTACTTTTTTATTTTTTGATGCAGAAATGCTTCTCTAGAGTAACGGTGTTTTTATATATAATAGATAAACGTATGTAGCATAAAATTATCACATTAATTTGAGTTATCCACAAAGGAACTGCAATTAATCTGTCTGCCTTCTTATTATGCTATTATGCCATTAAATAATAGCAATAATCATGCAGAATCCACTTTATGTGGTCAAAGAAATGCATGCATGTGGATATAATTGTATATGTAGACATATGTTTATGGCAATATTATATTCAGACAGATACATTTTTTTTCATATGTCTGTGTTGACACGCGTACACGAATTCGTTAAGAAAGCCATACAGCGAAAGTAACAGCAATTAAAAACATTTCCAAATAGAAAATATGATATACTTATGTATGTATGTACATAGAAGTCAATTATTATTCCAGAATAATTTCCGTTTAACCACAAGCAAAGCTGCAATACTCTCCTTCAAGGTGAAAAGTAAAAAAAAAAAAACAAAATATGCAGGAAAATTAACTTGAAATTACAGACTACAGAAAAGAACAACAACAATGTGGGTTGAAGCGATCGATAAAAGTAGATATGTATGCACAAGTAATTAATTGGGAAACAGTATACTTTTCTTAGTAAATATCAAGGCCTTAAATCCTCTTAGGCGCCAGCAAAAGTTAGCTGCTGAGTACAGTTGCTCCTCGGCAGAGGAAAGGATGTTGAATAAATAATTGGGTGGATACAAACTTATAAATACATACATATAAACAAAAGTAATTTATGCACTTTTACACTTACCTGATCTATGTCGAAATCCCATTCCGGCGAAGGCGAACGCACCGAACGCTCCGTTGGTGGCGTGCCTTGCGCCGGTGAACCTTGCGGTTCCTCGGGGATGACAGCGAAACGACCACGTTGCAATATGGGTGAAATGGCACCATAATTAGCTGGAATGCAAAATGAGATAAATAAACAGAAAGTAATTGGTTAGTGAGTTGTGTGTGTGTGTGTTGGTAGTTCAGGTACAGTGCTGCTTAGTTAAGACTGAGGGGCGGTTGAAAACTTTAAGTTGTCAAGAAATGCTGTAATGTTTTTTTTTTTTTTTGTAAATAGTAGGGGAAACTGTGGCATTTTAATTACATAAGTTAGTTTCAAGCATGTGTTACCTACAGGGAATAACTTCAAAATACATATGTATAATCAAATAAAACTGAACGAAGCTTGCAAGCTAATTAATCTTTTCTTCTTCTTATTTGGCACTACAACCGTTTGTCGGTTTGGGCCGACACCAAAAAGATTCGCCAGTTGCCTCTCTCCTTTGCGGATTTGCGCCAATTGTTCATCCCAAGTGCGGACAGGTCCTTCTGCACTTGGTCCTTCCATTGTGTTTGTGGGCGCCCTTGCTTTCGTTGTCGAGGATCCTTTCAGCGAGGCGTCGAACATGCGTTATCCAATCCAGCCAAATCGTTGTATTTTTATGCGCTTAACTATGTCCATGTCATTAAAAAGCTCGTACAGTTCGTCATTCCATCTTCTCCGGTACGCGTCGACCACGCAAATAGTGCTATATAGTTTGCGTAGAATAGTTACCATGTGGTGATCTGAGTCGGCGTCTGCATGTCAAGAACGCTTGAAGCTTATCTTCCGTCTAACACAACATGATCTATTTAGTTCCTCGTTCTTTTATCAGAGGACACCCATTGGCTTTGTAAATGTTTCGATATGCTGGTGTCTGGTACTACTAACAACCATGTTCCATACCGCGGAAAAGTCGATCAGCCTATCTCCGTTGTCGGAGGTGTTGTCATGAAGGACGTGTTGTCCGAGGCCGTTTTGCTCTCTTCATTGAAAGACGCTTTTACGTGGCGGGTCCCAATTCCAGCGCACACCCATTACTGAGATGAGTGACTTTTCAACCGGATATCTAACTACCTAAGAAAATATTTCGTCTCCAACTATTATGTATACATTTTGCTTGAGCCCTGTGCTGCCAGACCTTGTTTTTGGACAATTAATATTAAACCAAAGCTCGATTAATGCTCTTACAGATCAAAATTTAGTATTGTGTTGATAAAAAAATTTAGAGTTTACATGCTTTCTATGGGTTGATCGTAGTTTAAACTGGAAAGTCCTGTTATCGGACAGTGTGCGTCCAATTTTACTCCACGGAGCCCTAATCTGGTGGCCTATCCTTTATAAGTCAACAGCGCTCAAGATCCTCAAAAGGGTACAAAGGAGTACATCCGGTCACTCGAAAATCTTAGAGACGATTACTCCCAAACCGATACCTGCAAGTATTGACCATCATACCATCAAATACTTCCACCAATAACTTTAAAATCACAAGGTCGAAGGAGCAGTCTTCTCTCCAGAGCTGGAATTAAAAATATATTTTTGGCCTTCTCCTCCACTGCAGTGTTCACCAGTCGAAGGTGCTGGCTATCCAGGAGGTCACTCGGCTCCCAATAAGAAGGTCCAAGGAGCAAATACAAGTATTGATCTCCTCTCATAGTCCGGCAGTAGTTTGTAAGTAGTACATTTGTCATTTTAAAATAATTTTTTATTTCTTAATATCAATTTCCCACTGTAGGAACTTAACTAAGCTGCACTGTTTAAAATGGACTAGCTACCTTTTTTTTGCTTTCTCTCTCTCCCTCTCCCTTTACTCCATTACATTTAATTATACTTACACGTGGGCATTAGACGAAATCGCCCGAAGGTCGTCTCTGGCGGTCCTTGCGCTGCCGTTGAGGTCACATGAAAGCGACCACGTCTGGCGGCGGCCACCTCTTCGTAGCCACTGCCACCACCGCTGCCACCCGGCATTTTGTTACTGCTGCAGGTTCAGGCTGTAATAAAATACAAAAATAAATATTTATCATTGAAATAGCAGCAACAAAAAAAATAAAAAATTTTAAAAGGCGATTATAATTAAGCTAGCTCGCATTGTGGTACC